ACACCGGCTAGTGCTGCAGGCTTAAGGCCAAAGTATACTTCGGCCGTCCGCATCCACATTACGTCATTTTCGTCATCAGGAGGGCTCGCGGACAGCCGTGCACCCCGTCCGCGTGCAGGCAATTTTTTGAGACCGCGTACAACAGCGCATGCGCGAGGTGAAAGTTGAGACAGAGCACAAGTCAAACTGCGCCTGTGTTGAGCTCGTCCGTCTGTACTCATCCGCGGTTGAGTATACTTTGAAAGCTGTGTGGACGCGGCTGAGCGCGAGACAGAACGGAACACGGAAAATGAAGTATACCCGGGCCTTTATTGGCTCACTGACACTGATGAGATTAACCCCTTAGGTATCGAAATTTGGTACCGAACGACGAGACGTTTTTCGATACTCGATGGTATCGAGGCAATTCGGTCGGTGCCTAAAAAGTATCGAACTCGATACCCAGCCCTAATCACAGTTGTGGGTTATTTCTCTGTCTGTTCATCACCATTACAGGTTATTTCTCGGACTATAAATGAACTTTAGACTTTCTCTTCCTATGGAGATATCACTGCCAGTGAGAGTACTGTAAGGTCAATTATTTAGCTGTGCAGTGTTCCTCATGGTTTCTCATAAATAAAGACTGAATGGAGATGGTTTGTTTACCTCCATTATTTATAAAAGACAATGGTGGCTTTATAAAATGCTGTTTTCTAAAATAAAATACTGACACAGCTGGAGAACAGATCTTGTCACCAGGCCATTTATATGATGTTGAGGGGACAACAGTCCAAATTGTGTCCACTAAGCAGTGATTCTGGTCTGTAAACTCTATCCTAATATCTCTTCATGATCATACAGAGTTTTAAGAGTAATATTTTATTCTTTTCACTTGCATTGTGTATATTATAGACCGATGCAGCATAATTGCACCGAGAAGCTATATATTTGTCAGTAGCTTTAAATCCTTTTAGAGTTGATAAACCCCGTTACAACTATCAAAGGCTAATACGACGCTCTCAGCACAGGCTGAGGTCAAAACAGTTTGCTGTGTCTTTGATTGGATTTGGATGCCGTTTTTAGTAACATTGTGACACTTATCAAGGCCTTCAGCTCCATGGGAACCAAGAATTACACGCTTGATATTTACAGCAGCCGTTTACAGCTGTCCTGTGCTATGCCGGGGATGCTTTCTGCCTGGGCTTGTTCTCAGCTGTTCAAATAAAGATCAGTGTCAAGTCATCACGGTTAGGGAGACACTACTGTTATGTTGATTGCTCTTGACTGCTGAAGTTTTCGCATCACAAAGAGCAGTTTATTAGTGGAGGAATAAAATGTAATTAAAAGGCCTCTATTTTTCTTTAAAGCTGCCAAATCCGATGTTGAAGACATACTCTCTCAGTTTCTTCAGATATTGACCTTCTGTCTAATTCCTCATGTTACCGCGTGCTCATATTTGTCAAATACTTTCGTTTTTATTCAGATGGTGCTTTGTTTGTCACTTAAGTGATTGCAGTGAATGTCACACATTTGTCAAACTTAACCGCTCAATCGGCTATCATGAGACTGTTGCAAAATATTTGTTCTTCTTGTCATGCCAAACATTGCTGTACAGCTTAACCTTTTGGTTCCTTCTGTTTGAAGAATCGCACAGGGAAGAGAATATCCTAAAGTGAATTATACCAAAATCAAAGCTATATGTTTAATTTGACAATAGGGCTGCTCAGTTATGGCAAAAATAATAATCACGATTATTGTGGTCAATATTGTAATCACAATGATTATGAGTGGGCCACATGACCAAAACGTTATACGAGTGATTTATTTAAAGATGATATAGCCTATATCAAATAGAAATGTTCTGTAAATAAGGTTGCTATGACATCTAGCTACATTTTAGAGACCAGCGAAATTTCACAATTCTCAATAGGGCTGCAGAATACTAGTATACTAATACTAACTAATATTAGTAAAAAACAATAAAGATACAAATGAAACAAAAAAAGATGTAAAAGATACAAATGAAGCAAACAGTGCTTTAAGTTTATGCAAGTCTAAAGTATAGCCTAGGCTATTCAGTTAACGGCCTTCTACAGAAATTTAATAATTGAATGTAAAATAAAACAGCATCGTCTTCACTGTAAGAATTACATTTCCTTTGTTTCTTATTAAAGCTACAAAAGTCCTTCAGTCAAGAGCAGTGAGTGATTTTGTCTTTTGTTGATTAATATTAAGCACACAGTCAGCAGCAGGAATATTAGCCTGCTGTCACTTTAAGAGCCGCACGGATACAATTTACTGTTACGGACGTATTTTCATTCTTAACTGTTTACGTTCACTTATTACATAACTGATGAGGGTTTATGTGAATTATCACCAAGCGCCGCATTTTGACACATTTTTTGCATGTATTTGACCGTTTAAGCGCGCACCTAACTAAACGTTCTGTGTTCTGTTCCATCTCTGAGCGCATGCACAGAAATCCTCCCGAGGAACAGCGCAAGTTCTCTCGCACTTTCATAAACATGAATAAATCTAATAAACTTTGATCAATCAAGCACGTCCCATTTTGCAAGTCACGTTACATGATTTTACTGATTTGCACGTGAAATCTGACTTTTATGGAGGAGTGAAAGCGCACCGCTGGAAAGGGAGCAGAATGGGGCGTAATAATAGTTTTATCTCGATTATTGTTTTTCCATAATCGTTGGAGGCCGAAATCGAAACTGTATTTCGATTAATTGCACAGCTCTGTTTGACATGCATATTACCAGCGTGTTGGTCATGTTTCGGTATGTTAGTCTTAAAGGGATCGTTCATGCAAAAATTCTGTCAGTAATTACTCCCCCTCATGTCGTTCTAAACCCCTAAGACCTTCGTTCATCTTGGACTATTTTAACTATTGTCACATGGACTATTTTAACGATATCCTTACAACCTTTCTGAGAATGTTTCAGTTGCATTGCTGTCTATGGAGGGTCAGAAAGCTCTCGGATTTCATCAAAAATATCTTAATTTGTGTTCCGAAGATGAACGAAGGTCTTACGGGTTTGGAACGACATGAGGATGAGTAATTAATGACAGAATTTTCATTTTTGGGTGAACTATCCCTTTAAACAGTGTTCTTTGTCATTTGAGACTCAGAGTATTTACTCTGCAAACATTTGATTCTCCTGGAGAGTGTGAACAAACATCCTCCCAGCGTGAAATAATGTCAATCCATCAGCTTATAATGTGAAATGTGGAACTACTAAAAGCTGAAAGGCTAAAAAATGTAGTTTTTTTGGCATGTATTCATGGATGTATGTTGATATTTTTTTCATTCTGTTTAATCTTTGTAATCTAAAGTGTAAAAAGGAGCTTGAAGTTTAATCAGGATGTGTTGTTATGAATTTTCTTTCTCAAATGTTTAGACAAGCATGCTAATGATCAGATAGAGACATCAGCTAAAACTCTTAATAAATATTAGCAGTCCACACAGGATGTGCAGCAGGAAGAGAGCGAGGTCTGAGCTGATTTCTGTTTGCATCTAGTCTTAATTTTCACCTCCCCTCTCCCTGGTGTCACAAATGAACGGAAATACATTTCGAAAGGCAAAAAGTAAATATAACACTCGCCTACAAACATTAGCAACAGTCAGTATTTTACACATTGCTTACTTGGAAACTAGTTGCCCAACAACTGCGAATGGTCTAGATTTTTTTTTCTTCTTATTGTAGTGTTGACATTTTTAAAAGGATAGTTCACCCCAAAATGAAAATTACCTCATGATTTACTCCCCCTCTAGCCGTCCTAGGTGTATATGACTTCCTTCTTTCAGACAAATCCAATCGGAGTTATATTGAAAAATGTCTTGGCTCTTCCAAGCTTTATAATGGCAGTGAATGGGTGTTATTATTCAATAGTCCGATAGAAGTCCATTAAAGTGCATCCATCCATCATAAAAGGTGCCCCACACGGCTCTGGGGGTGAATAAAGGCCTCCTGAAGTGAATAGATTAATTTTAGTAAAAAAAAACAAAATACCCATATTTAAAACTTTATAAACGGTAATCTCTAGTTTCTGCTAGCTGTCGTACGCGCGTTCATTCCGACGGATGACGTAGGCGTAGCGTTAGCTCCGGTGAGAATATGCTAGTCTTGTGAAAACCAACATTTGTTTACAGGAGCAAAGGAAGCAAAGTTTCCTTACTTTAGCAAAAGAAAACCAGTCTCCTCTTGGCTTATATCGAAATCTGCCGACATTTTTCTTTACAAACCCTCGTTTTGCACTTCTAATTCGTGACCGGTGTTTTGTTTTGCTCTCTCAGCTGCGCTTACGCTTACGGAGATTATGGTTTATAAAGTTTTAAATATGGATATTTTTCTTACAAAAACGCATCGATTCACTTCAGGAAGCCTTTATTCACCCCCCGGAGCCGTGTGAGGCACTTTTTTATGATGGATGGATGCACTTTATTCTATTGGACTATTGAATAGTAACACCCATTCCCTGCCATTATGAAGCTTGGAAGAGCCAGGATATTTTTTTAATGTAACTGATTCATCTGAAAGAATAAAGTCATATACACCTTGGATGGCTTGAGGGTGAGTAAATCATGGGCTAATTTTCATTTTTGGGTGAACTATCTCTTTAAGCATAGCTTAAGCCTAGTTTGCATTGTAAAACTTTTTCTTGGCTCTTTGGTCTTTCATCCTCTTTAAAGCAGCAGTGTTACAGCAGTACACATTCAGACGGACATTTTTTGGTCACTGCAGTGTGTCTCGCACAATATTTTGAGCGTCCCACAAGGATTGTAGTCAAGTTAAACATTTTAAAAATGCACTTTGAGGCACTGCGTTCGGTTATATTGTTGTGCTCATTCTACATGTTTGTGAACACAAGAAAATGTTTTAAACACCCCTTAAAAATCGGGGCCTGGGGAACCTAGTCTGTCTTGAAAATCATGTAGTTCTGAACCTGCCTATTACTTTTGTCTGTGTGAACACTTATAATTTATACTCCTCTTAATCTCTCTTCAGGAGACTGAACTCGCTGCAGACTGCAATCATGTAAGTGTTTACACACTATTTCTGTTATTTTTGTTCCTGGATGTTGATCTGAATGACAGTTGATGGTTAAACCCAGCCAAACTACAGCAGGAGTTTGTTATTTTGTTGATATTTCAACCCAAAAATGAGTTTAACTATCCTTGAGCCATACATATGAACGTTTTGGGTTTTGTTTGAATTTTATTTTATCATTATTATTATATATATTTTTTTTTTAACAAATATGCACATTGTCACTTTCAAATAATGTGAAATATTTAATCTTTTGGTTTATTTTAGATTTTTTTTTTTTTTCAGTTAGTCTAATGACTGAGTTGTTAACATTTTTTAATTTATATAATTTAAAATAATAAAATAAATATTAAATAATAAAAATAAGCATTATTTTAGTGCTGTTATTGCTCAGGATATATATACATATATATATAGATAGATAGATAGATAGATATAGATATATATATAAAAAAAAGTTGGTTAGTTGATTATCATTCATTCAGCACTGTAAGATTAGCCTAAGTTATGTTATTGTAGCAAATAAAATGTCCTGTTTTATTTTTAGCTGCTGTGGAACTATAAGCTCAATCTGACGACTGATCCAAAGTTTGAGTCTGTCGCCGTTGAGGTGTGCAAGACCACCATCAGTGGGGTAAGTATGCATGGAGGCGGCAAAACAAAACAAGCTTTTATCTCAAACTTGACCACAAAGTCACTAAACCATTTACAATCATTTTTCAGATTAAGGAGTGTGCCGCTGAGGAACGTGGGAAGGGTTACCTGGTGTCGTGTTTAGTAGATCACCGCACCAACATCTCCGAGTACCAGTGTAACCAGTACATCACCAAGATGACCAGCATCGTCTTCAGCGATTACCGGCTGATCTGCGGCTTCATGGACAAGTGCAAGGACGACATCAACAAACTGCACTGTGGAAGCGTCAACACTGGAGAGAAGGTAAGCCCAGGTGCACTGTGGGTAACTGAAAGCAGCAGTATGACCACGGTCTTTGAAAAAGGATGTAACACTTATTTTTTAAACCACTGTTTACTTTCTGATGCTCTCTGATAACAGCGCCAGTATTTCTAGCAGCTCTGCAAGTTTGTGCTACATCAGTGTCAAATACAGGACTGTAGGCGAACATTAAAGCAACAAATACAGGCATTTTAGACATTTTAAGCATCTGTGCAACTCTGTTCTTGTTCTTGAAATGGTTTCATAAAACAGTTCTGACAGTTTCAGTTATTTTTTTTATTTATTTTTTTTTCATCGGTCGATACTGGATATTTAATTATGCAAGCTCATTTAACTTATTTTAACATTTAGATTACCTTTGCCATTATTTAACACTCATTTTAAGTTTAAATGTATTACAATATAGCCTAATTCAAATATGATATTTAATAACACTGTTAAATGTAATAAGTGAATCTCAAAATGAATATCAATTTCTTATACTGTACATTACAGTATTGCAATGACTAATTTAACTTTGTAGCATTTAAAATAACTGATTTTTTTTTTTTTTTGCCAAAATAGAATAGAGCTTCAACATCAGTCATTTATTGGGTATCAGCCATAATGGCAATTAGTAAGCATGTCAATATCTTGCAGCATTATAATATAAGGATATTTCACCCACAAATGAAAATTGCCATAATTTCCTCGACTCTGTCGTCAGAAACCAATACGACTTACGTTCATCTTTGAAATACAATATTTTTAATGAAACCTGAGAGGTTTCTGTCACTCCAAGGCCTTTCCACTGTAACTTTTACTCTTCAAAAAGTTCTTAAAGACATAAAAACTAATCCATATGAATTGTGCGGATTTAATTTAGGCTTTTATTCACATTTAAACGTTGATTTGCGCGCACACATAAAGCACATCAAATATGGTCAACAGAAGATCAAACTTGCTTGTTTGATGCACAAAAACCTATGAGGTTTGTTCTCGCAGATCAAGCATGAACGATGAACAGAAAAAAGATGAGCAAAAGACTTACGGGTTTGTATCGGCATGAGGGGGAAAAAATGACTTGAACTTTCCCATTAAGTTCATTTGATCCAAGTTTGTGTAGCTCTGATCAGCATGACAGACAGTGCTCCGTTGTTATGGGAGCTGTCAACTGATTCAAAGGCAGCTGGCTAGTTCTTCAGTTGAGCTTTCAATCAGCTGGTCTGAGATTCACAACTGCAGTTCTAGAGACCAGGACGGCTTGTTAAACTGCCATGAGAGTACTTTGTGCCCTGTTCTCGGTCCTGAGCGCACATGGCCGTTCTCTACAGGACATCCACTCTCAGGGCGAGGTGATCGCGTGTCTGGAGAAAGGCCTGGTGAGTGAAGCCGAGGAGCAGCCGGCCATCACCATCAAAGAGGACTGTAAGAAGTCAATCATGCGTGTGGCCGAACTCTCCTCCGATGACTTCCACCTCGACCGCCATCTCTACTTCGCCTGTCGGGAAGACCGCGAACGCTACTGCGAAAACGTAAGCCGCGATCCTCTAATACGCGCTCACTGTGCACTTCTGTTGCTAATGGTGTGCTCTGTTCTGTTTGTTTCAGACTCCAGCAGGAGAAGGAAAGGTCTACAAATGTCTGTTCAACCACAAGTTTGAGGAGAGCATGTCGGACAAAGTACGTCTGGTTTGCCGAAAACGGCTTATAGTGATGGCGTACAGAGAAAATGGGCAGAATAGTTCACACTTGACACTAATTATAACACATCCACACATAACCACAGCCCAGTCTTCCTCTTCCTTCTTTACAAATGCCTTTTATGCAAAGATTTAGTTGTTTTACCCTTGACCCAGACTGGTGTTATTGTTAACAAAAACCATTGAAAGGCATTTTCGGTAATTGAAACAAAGCTGAAATAAAATTAGAGATAAAGTTTACAAGAGAAATAAAACAAAAAACACAAAAGTGTTGCCTTGGCAACTAAATGAAATAAGTTTGTTGAAGTACTAGAATTACTAAAACTGAAATAAAAATACTTTTATAGAGCTATATAGAAATATAAAGGGCATAAGATTGCTAAAACCTGAACTTAACTTAAAATGAACTAAACTAATATTAAATAATCTGAAATATAAAAATAAAAGCTAATTCAAAATGTCAAAATTATAAATATTTAATCGATAAATACTACTACTGCTTTTGTTATTAATATACAAATAATACTACTATTTTAGTAATATTAATGTACTCATTTATTAATTTATAATTAAAGTATTAATATATATATATATTCAAATATAATTTATATTATTTATAAATATTAATATTTTATATATAAACAAAACATTTTTTCTTAAATATATACATGCATGTGTGTGTGTGTTTATATATACATAATAAATATACACCGTACAAACACATATTATGTAAACAAAAACTTTTATTTTGGATGCGATTAAACAGCACTAATTCAAATATATATTATTTTATTAATAAAATATATTATTTTAAAATATAATTAGGCATTAGGGGTATTGCAATATTGACAATAACTGTAAATCAAATATTATCGTGTTAATAATAATCATACTAAATAATTGTTATTCTCATACACTATTAGCCAATTATCAATTGATTCATTGTACAAAAATTTTTTTTGAAAATAAACGATGAAAGATGAATTTGACTGATAGCATTATAGTAATTTTTTATTATTTTTCAAATGTTCTCTAGATAATTGGCACATTAATCATGTAGAGAAAATCTGATGTTGTGACAGCTCTACTATGTTTGCGATGTTTCATTTTAAAACGGTTGCACACTTGCTGTGGTGCTCATGTGAGAAATATGAGTTCAAGTCTGACTCGTGTCTTTTATCTATTTTCCATTTTTTTTATCCATAATTTCTTATCTATTTATTTACCTAGCTGTTAAAATGAAAAATTGCTTAAAAAACATTTATTTATTATTAAACTTTTCTCCAATTAAACGTAAGTATCTGTGTTTTCTGCAGTGCAAGGATGCTCTTTCCACTCGTCAGAAGCTGATCGCTCAGGACTACAAGGTCAGCTACTCGCTGGCTAAAGCCTGCAAACCGGACCTGCGGAAATACCGCTGCAACATGGACACGGCCATGCCTCGAGCCAGAGAGGCCAAGCTCTCGTACCTGCTGCTGTGTCTGGAGGCAGCTGTGCACCGAGGTGAGGCTTCTGATGCGATGTGGACGGACACAGGCTCTGCCCCCTACAGTGTTGTTTTCCACATGTTTTGGTTCTTGCTCCGCAGGTCAAACTGTGAGCAGCGAGTGTCAGGGAGAGATGCTGGACTACAGGCGCATGCTGATGGAAGATTACTCGCTCAGTCCTGAGATCGTGCTGCATTGCAGAGGGGAGATTGACACGCACTGCTCCGGCCTGCACCACAAGGGTCGAACCCTGCACTGCCTCATGAGGGTGTCCCGGGACAAGGGCATCTTGGAAGGCCACTGCCAGAAAGCTGTGAGTTTTAATGCACTTTGATATGCTCACTTGCTGGTTGGTCCGGTCGATATCGTGAATAACACAGATACATTCAGTATTAGCAATGGGTCGATATGTTGTCCAGGCCAATTAATGCCTGCTAGCTGGCGTTATTTTTTGGGGGATATATTTTGGTATAACTGTGGCCATTTGGCTGATGAACAGAAACTGTATTTTCCCCGATTGTGTCAAAACAAACTATATTAACGACTTGGTAAAATTACAATACACTTATTTTTTTATTTTCATATTTTTTATTAGAGAGATAGATATCGCTCTCTTTCTATCCATTTATCCATCTATCTATATCTATCGCTCTAACTATTTAGTATTTTAGTATTTGTTTGATTTTTGTCTTTTTAATTTTTGAATTCTTTTTGTTTTTTGTTAGATATCTATATCTGTTGATTTTTGTATGTTTGTTTATTTTTGATTTTGTTTTTAGTATTTAGTGTTTTGTTTTTAGTATTTAGTGTTTTGTTTTTAGTATTTAGAATTTTTTTGTTTGCTTTTTGTTTTTTGTTGTTTTAGTTTTGTTTTGATTTTAGTTTTGATCTAGTGTCTTTCATTTAGTTTTTTGTATTTTTATTTAAAATGTTTTTCTTTTTTTGTTAATATTTTTAGGGGGTATTTGTGTGTTGATTTGTAGTTTGTTGATTTTTAGGTTTTTTTTTTTTTTTTAGATATCCATATCTATTGATTTTTGTGCATGTTTTTTGTGTTTGCTTTTAGTTTTTGTGATTTTAGTTTTTTGTTTTTTTTATTAGTATATTGATATTTTTGTTTTTCTTTTTTGTGTTTGCTTTTTGTTTTATTTTTGTTTTGATTTTAGTTAGATAGATAGATAGATAGATAGATATAGACAAAGAAAGAAAGAATTGTAACATTTTGAATACCCTTTTCTGTGGCTGCTTAGTCAAAATATTGATTATTCTGATAAAAAAATAAATGCATAAATATGAAGATAATAAATATCACCAAGAGGCTGAAAAATATCAAGATAATTGTGTGCATTCATTGTGTTCCAGTACTTCCTGTGATTAATGAACTGAGGTCGAATTGATTTAACTCATGAATAAAGTTGTGAGATATTCATTCATGTTAAATAATGCAGCGGCTGTGATGAATGACTCTGATTATGGCTTTCATAACTGTGTCCCATCAGCTCCAGACACTGATACAGGAAACAGACCCCGGGGCCGACTATCGCATTGATCGCGCTCTGAATGAGGCCTGCGAGTCCGTCATCCAGACCGCCTGCAAACACATCCGAAACGGAGACCCCATGTGAGTGCTCTTGTGTGTGAAATATTAGGCCCAGAGCTCCAGCTAGAAAGCATTTCTGCTGGTAAACATGAAATGCTCCAGGAATAAGTTTGCTTAAAGTCATCATTTACTCATCCTTTTCATTTCAAACATGATGTTTGGGGTTTTTTTTCATTCCTTGAAATTGAACAAATATTGGAGATGTTTTGCATGTGCTTGAGGCACTGCATATGACACTGCAATAATAGCTCTGACCAAACCTGTTCTGCCATAAACTTTCCAGTATGCTGATCGATCTTTACATTTGACCTTGTTTCTGTGAGTTCATATTCGAGTAGAAGCTCTGAAGGTGAAGTGTATAATATATTTTTGGTGTGTGTGTAGGATCCTGTCTTGTCTGATGGAGCATCTGTACACTGATAAGATGGTTGAAGACTGTGAACACAGATTGCTAGAGCTGCAGTACTTCATCTCCAGAGACTGGAAGTGAGTCACAAACCTCAAGAGTTTAGGTTTCATTCCACGCTTTTGATTTGAATCCCACTTTTAATCCCATTTATATACCTTTTGAATGATACTCTTCAGGTGCTTTCTTATGTCTTTTTCCCCCCTGTGCTTCAGAAAGAATGCAGTAAAGCTACTTCTTGTGTGTCGCTATTTAAAGGAATGTTACTTTGTAAAAGAGAAATCATGTGGTGACAGGATTGAACACGAAATGAGACGAGGCTAAATATTACGATGCTAATATTTGATAGTGCCAATTAGTTTAAAGTTTTTGTTGTTGTTTTGTTTTTTTGTTTTTTTTTATTGCCATTTGTTTTTAGTTTTTTTGTTGTTGTTTTGTTTGTTTTTTTGTTTTGTTTGTTTTTAGTGTTTTTTTGTTGTTGTTGTTTTTTGTTTTTTATTGTCATTTGTTTTTAGTGTTTTTTTGTTGTAGTTGCTTTTGGTTTTTATTATCATTTGTTTTTTTGTTGTTTTGTTTGTTTTTTATTGTCACTTGTTTTTAGTGTTTTTTCGTTGTTTCCTTTGTTTTTATTTCGGGGATTTTTTTTTTTTTTTTTAGTGTGGTTTTTTTTTTTTTTTAGTGTGGTTTTTTTTTTTTTTTAGTGTGGTTTTTTTTTTTTTTTAGTGTGGTTTTTTTTTTTTTTTAGTGTGGTTTTTTTTTTTTTTTAGTGTGGTTTTTTTTTTTTTTTAGTGTGGTTTTTTTTTTTTTTTAGTGTGGTTTTTTTTTTTTTTTAGTGTGGTTTTTTTTTTTTTTTGCTTTGTTTTTTTTATTTTAGTTTTTATTTGTTTTTTGTTTGTTTAGTGTGGTTTTTTTTTCTTTCTTTTTTTCAGGGTGGCCGTGGGTCCTTAAGTCTTAAAATGTCTTAAATAATTTTTTCCTAAAAAAAAAAAAGTCCTTAAAAATCTTAATGTCTTAAATTCAGATTCAGTGAGTCTTCAATATTTTTGGTCACATTACCGCAAAAATGTCTCCAGTCTGACAGACCCAGTGACTGTTTACAATCACTGGACAGACTGAAGATTTCTCCCCCGCTGTAGTTACTGCGTCACCAGCGGAAGCAGAGTACAGGTGGAACAGCAGCTCGCTCAACAGCCTCCTAGCTACTGTAAACAGGTTAATGCAAGTTTACTGAAAAATGGCTCGAGAATTTTACTTGCCCGACAGGACAAATAGCCTGATTAAAACTTTAGTGACAATAAATAACTAGTGATGCATCGAAACGCGAGAATGATTGTTTTGATTTTATTACATTCAGCTTAAACAGCGATTGATATTATAATGGATAGTGCATTTCTGCTATCAGTGTGGCGCTGTTGAGGCTCGTGCTGCCTCTCTCTGTGGCAGACTTTCGTGGAGAAATCAAATCAAATGAGCGTAACGGCACACATAAAGAAACTCACAGAACAAACATACTGAGGTGAAAGTTAAAAAATGTTTAGTTTATTGACAACACGATGTAGTTAAGAAACATACCATGACAAGGGGGCTGTTTTGCTGAATATTTTGACACTTGCAAATGTTACATTGACTTTAGTTCAACAAACAAGTGGTTAAACTTACATTTTAGGCACAATCGACTGTTTTGTTCTATTTCACCAACAAAAATAGTCCCAAAGCTCAGAACAGAAGTATTGCACATTCTCCGATCAACACTCGCCGTTTTGTTACTGAATGATTCAGCGTTTTGAACGAATCAGTTGAAGGAATAAGTGATTTACCGCCACCTACTGGCGGTTTAGTCTCATGTTTAAAAGTATGCATTTTCCTCCAACATTTCTTAGTTGTATATTCAGTTTTATTTAAAACATTAATCTCATAACATTATTTACTGCAGTTGTAATTTTGCAGTGTAAATTATTTAATTTGATTGGTAACAGCCCTGTAGTGTATATTGAATTTCTTGATCACTTATAATAATTTTGCCAGGAAAGATGACGCATACATTTAATAAGGTTAAAAAATATTGGCCTCTATAAAGGTAAATAACATCCTGGGGTAAATATTAAAAACATGCAGGTTTAAGAATGTAAAACCTGTTAGAAGACTGATTGAAATATTGATGCGGTGCTTTTGTGGGGATATTTTGAATGGGATATTATCTGCTGATATGAAAAGTTCACTGTATATCGTAATAATAAATAACATTTTTGACAGCGATGATATTTTGTTTTATTTTTACGTTAAACATTAAATATTACATATACGTATGTAATATAATGTGTATTTCCATCATAAGTTTGTTCTTAAATTTTACATAAGGTGGTATTAAAAAGTCTTAAATTTAACTTGTATATATCTGTAGACAGCCTGTTTTTTTTTTTTTTTTGAGCAGGTCAAAACTACTGTCACAGCCAGGTTCATTTTATGTCACATAATGATCTTAAAAACCTGAGATTTGTTCCTTTAAATCTCTTTAACCGAGACATTGTCAACAAACAGCTTTGAAAGTTCCTGACGAGGTCAAATGTGAGTTCATGTTCAAACATTTCCCTGTGGTTCTGGTTACAGACTGGACCCTATCCTGTACAAAAAGTGTCAGAACGATGCGTCCCGCATCTGTCACACTCACGGCTGGAACGAGACCAGCGAGTTCATGCCGCCCGGAGCCGTTTTCTCCTGTCTGTACCGGCACGCTTACCGCACCGAGATGCAGGGACGACGGGTACGACTAATACTCGCTAAACACACTCATGTTACACTCTAGACATTAACCTCTGCATTGTGAGTTTTCAGAAAATAGGACATTGAGAAACAATAGCTTATCTGCGGCTTCCTAAATGTAACTATAGGGTTCATCAGAAACTTCTGATGTAAGTTCGGACGAGAGGTCGAATGTAAGTATCCTCTGGTTCCTTAAGGAGGAGAATCTCACCAACCTGTCCAAAGCATGACTCCGCTGCATTTCACCTCAGAAACATGGACAAATAAATGATTTAGCATACAAACAATTTAACCCGTTTTTACTATTAACATTTTATGCATTGTTGCATTATTTTAATGTAAATGAAGTTACCTCCCTCAATTCTCATTGCTATAATTCAGGAAGAAAATGCAAAAAATAAATGTGTGTGTATATATATATATATATATATATATATATATTCAATAATTCACAAGTCAAATTATATACAGTGTCCTCCACTAATATTGGTACCCTTGGTAAATATGATTTACCATTGCAGCAAAACAATTGAACGTGGGGGGAAAATCTCATTATGAAATAAATGTTTTTCTCCAATGCATGTTGGCCACAATTATTGGTACCCCTAGAAATTCTTATGAGTAAAATATCTCTGAAGTATATTCCCATTCATATCCCTAGAAATTCTTATGAGTAAAATATCGCTGAAGTATTTCAGTACATTTTTAGCACACCAGGTTGACTAGGAGTATGAAATTCTCCAGCCATGGCTTCCTGTTCCACAGGATTATAAATATGAGGAACACAAAGGCCAAATTCCCCGAAATCATCCATCACAAGGAGTAAAACCAAAGAATGTAGTTCTGATGTGCAGAACCAAACTGTTGAGCTTCACAAAACAGAAAGTGGCTGTAAGAAAAGAGTTAGAGCATTTAAAATCCCCATTTCCACCATCAGGGCAATAATTAATAAGTTCCAATCAACTAAAGATGTCGCAAATCTGTCTGGGAGAGGACGTGTGTCTGTATCGTCCTCCTAATGCAGGGTGAGGAGGAGCATTTGAGTGGCCAAAGACTCTCCAAAAAACAAACTCCAGCATATTCAGTTGTCAGACACGACTGGAACTTCGAACGGGACTGGATTCTATGGTCAAATGAAACTAAAAAAGAGCTTTTTGGCAGCAAACGCACCAGATTTGGTGCAGACGGGGATAAAAAGTAGCCCATGTCCACGGTTAAATATACTACTGGATCTTTAATGTCGTGGGCCTGTTTTTCTGCCGCAGGTCCCGAACATCTTGTTCAGATACATGGCATCATATGGCACTTTTCCACTGCATTGTACGGCTCGCTTAAGTAGTACCACCTCAGTTGAGCCGTACGATACTAAAATGTGACGTGTTAACGCTGCCGATCACTGATTGGTCAGAGAATCGCCAGCAGCGTCATTGGATTTGCGACACGAGGCACCAAACCAGCAGCACAGCTAGTCTATAATCGGTACTAACTGCAGTAGAAAAGCAAGCGAGCCGAGCCGTGTCGAGTCGTACCACGCAGTGGAAAAACTGCCTCTGTTAGAAATCGTATAATAGGCTGTGGTTGGATCTTCCATCAGGACAATGATCCAAAACAAACATCAAAATCAACAGAAATGTGTCACTGAGCACAAAATAAAGTTTCTGTCATGGCCGTCCCAGTCCCCTGAGCTGAACCCTATAGAACATGAGTGTGGTGAACTGAAGAGGAGAAGCACCATCATGCAGCTGGGAATCTGAAGGGTCTGGAGAGATTCTGGATGAAGGAATGCTCTCTGATCTCTTGTCAGGTGTTCTCCAAACTCATCAGGCATTATAGGAGAAAACTCAGAGCTGTTATCTTGGCAAAAGGACGTTGCAATAATTGTGGCCAACATGAACTAGAGAAAAACATTTATTTCAAGATTTCCCCCCCACTTTACATTGTTTTACTTCAATGAAAGGATAGAATATTGTTCATTTTTTTGACTGAAAGATCAAAAGGATAAATGATGCAGATTTATTTTCACAGCCGCCTTTGCTCATATTTACCAATATTAGTGGACACTGTACAATATTAGTGGACACTGTACAATATTAGTGGGCACTGTACATTTTATTTATTTGTTTTATTTATACATCATACAAGTACTTTATTGTACTTTCTTTATTAAAATCAGCATAAATTAATGTCATGGTGCAGAAAATCTTAATGGTCTCAAAATGGTGTTCAAGCAAAATATACATATTTTTCTTAGTTGGTTTTTGTTGTGAAATATGACTCTTTTATGTTCTTGACAGGTCTGGTGATGTTCACTCTAAGAGTAAATGTGATGAAGCTACAGATGCATGTTCACAGCAAATTAGCAGGGACAAATCAAAATCATCTTCCTTTGCCGAGACTGAAATGACATTAATTCATGTTGTGGGCTTTAAATGAGTAGTGATTGACAGGAAATTAACTCGAATGATGTGGGTCTTGGGAGTTTTTTACAGACTAATCTAAAAATAATCAAATCTAATCATTCTTGTGTAACGTTTATGGTAATGGTATCAAAATTCATGACACCCGTCAGACCCGTGCACACAGATCGCTGTTTGTAGAAGGATCCAGAACTGTGTGTATGGGTCTGATTGATTGGTTGTGGGTCTGTTTGTTTGCTTTAGACGTGTGTGTATAAGTATGTGCTAATGCGTCTGAGTCGATCTGTAGTTATCTCGGGACTGTAAAACGGAGGTTCAGAGGATCCTCCACCAGAGGGCCCTGGATGTGAAACTGGATCCGGAGCTGCAGCAGCGATGCATGACAGACCTCGGGAAGTGGTGCAGTGAGAAGACTGAAGCTGGACAGGTCAGTATGACACTAATTATAACTGTCATTTTCCATGGGTTAGGTGCAATGAAATCCTTTTTTCTTCTTAAATCAGTGGTCTTGTTTTCTGTTCATGTTATGAGGATTACATTCTTTGCAACCCTGTTACTACAATGTAGGACTTGATGTTAAAATGGATATAAAAAATAACTACAAAAATGCACAATACAGTTACTAAATTACATTAAATTAAAATTAATTACATAAAAAATGTAAGTACAATATAAAAAGAAATTAATAAATAAATACCATTTCCAAATAAAAATTATAATAGGATCTCAGTGATTCGAAAACAGCACTGTCTGTCACCTTTCATAGATAGTGTGCAATGAAATCCTTTTTTTCTTCTTCTTACAAATGGACAGAGCAGTTTTTTGTTGTTTTGTTTTTTTATTTTATGTATACAATTTTTGCAACCCTGTTACTTAAAATTAGGTTTTGTCTTTTTTTTTTTTTTTATGACTGTGGTAACAGGGTTGAATGATTGTGTGAATGCTGTGAGCACTACAGTATTTGTAAAGCTTGATAAAATTGAATGTTTTTTTGCAGTATTTCATGAAGATTCCAATAATGTTACTTCCTGTCACAATTTTAAGAAATGTTAGGAATGTTATGTGGTAACAGGATTGAACATAAAATGGGTGAAGTATTACAACGGTAATATAATGCCAATTAAGTTTTAATTGTTGCACGTAAGAAGGTCAGCTTCTAAAATGAGACTACTGGTGTTTGACTACTTTATATTTTATGTTGGATAATGATTTTTTAAAAACATGAGATTTGTGCCTGTAATTCTCTCCAAAAAGTCTTGGGATGCCAACAAATGTTTCATATTCGTGGAAAGTGGCAGTTACGGAAACACTGTTTGAATGTAAAATTTGCAATGAAATTCCCAGTTCTGTAGTGAAGCATTGCTCCGTGTTTGTTTTTGTCTGTCAGGAATTGGAGTGCTTACAGGATCATTTAGATGAACTGGTCACTAGCTGCAGGGATGTGGTGGGAAACCTCACAGAATTGGAGTCCGAGGTACAAAATAAAATCCTTTTGTGATTTTTACAGCAGTTTGACTCCGAAATTAAAAAGCCTCAGTGTCTATATTTGGGTGTTATTGTTCTCTGCTGGACGTGAGACGTCTGGGTTTGGACTGATTTTGGTGTGTCTGGTTTTCCAGGACATTCAGATTGAGGCCTTGTTGATTCGAGCCTGTGAGCCCGTGATCCAGTCCTACTGTCATGCAAGTCGCAAATCATTTTTTCATCACTTAAAACCATGTAATAAATATACTAAGTAGCTTGGTTTTGTTTTTTCATTTGCCCTGTTTTTTTTTGCCTCTGTTTGTTTCGCAGGAGGTGGCCGATAATCAGATAGACACAGGGGACCTGATGGAGTGTCTCGTTGCCAATAAGCACCAGAAGGAAATGAACGAGAAATGCACCGTTGGAGTCACACACTTCCAGCTGGTACATCTGACGAATACACACTCGCTCTTCCTATGGTTACTACTGTTGTGTCTCAACCGTCCGTTTCTCCTCCTCATCCTCAGATCCAGATGAAGGACTTTCGCTTCTCGTACAAGTTCAAGATGGCATGCAAGGAGGACGTGCTCAAACTGTGCCCCAACATCAAAAAGAAGTGAGCGCCTGGCTGTCAAACAAAGCAAATGTTTCATAACTGCTTTTATGCGTTTTTTGCATTTATGCAAGTTTTATGTTGTCCTCAAGAGTAATATTGCAATTGTTGTTTTAACGATGTGTGAGCTGACATTATGTATATGCAAAAAAACAAACAAAAATACGTCTTAAGGAGTCCAAAAGCATTCGCTGTGTGATGAAGCCTATTAGAATATAGTTGAAATGCCCATAATAATAATGCTTGTCGAATTGAATCATTTGAATGAATGATTCAATGAATCACTAATTAAGACACTGACTAGTCGCCACCTACTGGTGGTTTTAGTGTCATTTTTATTTATCCTTGACAGGCCTAAAGCAGCCAAGGTACCAGCACAAAAACACACTCAACCAAATATTGTTTAATTGTCATTATCGGAAAATCCCAAAAAACATTGAGATTTTTTTCATCAATATCGCACACCCCTAGTTATTGTATAAAAAATGTGAGATTGGTAGTAAACTACAATTAGAGGTAACGTAGAGCATGATGGGAAGGTTTTGGTGGTCTGTTTACTCTTAGGGTGGATGTGGTGATCTGTCTGAGTACCACGGTAAGGAACGACACTTTACAGGAAGGCAAAGAGCAGCGTGTTTCCATGAAGTGTCGTAAACAGCTCAGAGTGGAAGAACTGGAGATGGTCAGTACATCAAATTAATCTAGAATATATTTGAATATGTCTGATCATTTGTAATGTGCTGCGTATGTTATGTTTCATGTCCTGTGAAGCTGAGATTTGTCATTGTGTGTCATGCAGTCTGAGGACATTCGTCTGGAGCCGGATCTGTATGAGAGCTGCTGGCAGGACATCAAGCAGCACTGTCAGAACGTGGTGTTTGGAAACGCTCAGGTACATCCATCATAACTCAAACTGACCGACCCTCTGGTCCTCCATTTAACTGTGATGATCTGCTCATCTGTGTATTTGTGCGGGTTCAGGTGATCGAGTGTCTGAAGGAAAAAAAGAAGCAGTTGACCCAGCACTGCCATCAGAAAGTCTTCAAACTGCAGGAGACTGAAATGATGGACCCAGAACTCGACTTCCAGCTCATGAGAGTCTGCAAGCAGATGATCAGGGTGTGAAACCTCATCAGTTACATCTGAAAACACCCTAGAGCTTAGTGATGGCTTGAAATTGTTTGATTAATCTATATAAACGATTGAACTTTTTTTTATCATTGTTTATCATACAGCGTTTCTGCAGTGAGACGGATGCAAAGAACATGTTACAATGTCTCAAACAAAACAAGAACAGTGAGCTAATGGACCCGAAATGCAAACAAATGATTACCAAGAGACAGATCACCCAGAACACAGGTACAATTACCACTACATCCTCATATACACACGTATACACACTCGGAAGCTTTGCTTGAATCACTCACATATTTATCTTTAGAAATAGAGGTGGCGAACCATTGAACAGGAAGCTTTATTAATGCTTTGTGTTGTTCCTCTCAGTAAAAGGCAGATATGTGTCAAATGTTTTCTTTCTACGAAGGGTCAGCGAAAGGTATTAAACTCATCACGACAAACTATGTAATTATTTAATGAGCTGTTTTGCTTTTAGTTTTTAGTTTTTGTTTTTTTTTTCAACCCCGTTACTAAAAATTAAGATGTCATAATACTGTTTAAAAACCTAGTAACAACAGTAATAATGTAGCTATGAATCATTTTAATATCAAACGTTTTTCTAATACCCTTTTTTTTTTTTTTTCTTTTTCATTTTCTATTAATTTAATACATAAAAAATTTGACCTTTTAAAAAAAATGTAATTATTCTGAAATGGGTAGCTGAGTTTAAGTAACAGGGTTGTAGGTTTTACTTAAAATATGCTTTTATTGTATGGACTTACTAGTTTGAGACCATGTTAATTAGTTTTGGTTTTTTTTTCCAACCCGGTTTCAAAAATTTGGAAAAGGTCTTAATACCATTTAAAAGCCTAGCAATAAACATTTTATAGTAACTTTTTTTCTACTAATAACCATTAAATAAATATGTGAAATTATTCAATATTTAAAAAAACTGATGAATTGAGTAACAGAGTTGCAATTAACAGAATTGTAAGTTTTGCTAAATGACATGTTCTCTAGCAGGGCCAAACTAGTTTGAGACGAAATGTTGGTTTGTTGTTAATTTAAATATTTTTTTTTTTCAAACCTGTTACACAAAAAAAAATAGATGTTTTAATACTAGTGCTGTCAAATAATTAATTGCGATTAATCGCATCCAAAATAAAAGTTTTTGTTTACATAATGTGTGTATATTTATTATGTATATATAAATACCCACACATGCATGTATATATTTAAGAAAAATGTTTTTATATATAAAATATTTATATTTATATATGTTTATAATATAAAACATGTATGTGTGTGTATTTATATATACATTATAAATATACACAGTACATACACATATATTATGTAAACAAAAACTTTTATTTTGGATGCGAAAAATCATTTGACAGCACTATTTAATACGGTTTAAAAACCTAGTAATAAACATTTTTCAGTAACACCTTTATTTTATTTTCTACTAATAACCATTAAATCAATATAACAGAAATAATTTTCAGAGATTTTCAATATTTAAAATTCAATTTTGCTAAAATGGGTAACGGAGTTGCAACAGGGTTGTAGGCTTTGCCTAAATTACGCTTTCTCTCAGCAGGGGCTAAAACAGTTTGAGACCAAATGTTGGTTTGTAGTTATTAATAAATTGTATTTACAATAAATTAAAAGGAAATATTAGCTCCATCATTTTTCTTACAAGAACATCAATAACAGGTGTGAATGGCTGAGTTTGACCATTGAAGTGAGTGCTACATGTTCTGTAAAAATCAAGAAAACGCAATGAAATTGTAATGTCTTCCCACCATACTTTAGAAAGAGTTGAAATCGTTTGAGGGTGTCACAATTTACATTTGTGTGTCATTATTGCTATAAAAAGTATTGAGATCCGAGTGCCCTATTCGTGTGAATTCCCTGAGGTTCTAAAGCAGCAAATAAATCAAAAAACCTCTTTCCATCAATAAAGTTTGATGCTTTTCCCTCCATTCTAGACTATCGTCTGAACCCTGTGCTGAGGAAGGCTTGCAAAGCGGACATACCGAAGTTCTGCCAGGGCATTCTGAGCAATGCCAAAGACGACAACGAGCTGGAGGGGCAGGTCATCTCCTGCCTCAAACTCAAATATGCAGACCAGGTTCGTAACCATGATCGCTGTGAATGCACATAAGCCTGAGAAAGCTCCTTATAAGAGAGTGTGTCTGTGTCTCCAGCGTCTCTCTCCAGACTGCGAGGGCCAGATCAGTGTCATTCTGCAGGAGTCCGCTCTGGACTACAGGCTCGACCCGCAGCTGCAGCTCCAGTGCAATGATGAGGTAAACTTCACCGCCTTACTATGATGTGCATTGAGATGTTTTGGTCTTGAATGACTAATAATGGCTGTTTGTCCCAGATCCCGCGGCTCTGTGCGGAGGAAGTAGCGGCGCAGGAGCAGACGGGTCAGGTTGAGGAGTGTCTGAAAATCAACCTGCTGAAAATCAGCCATGAAGGCTGTAAAAAGGTACGAGTGCTTTGGCCTCGATTGACCGATGGGAAGTTGCACGGTTCACTTGCTTACAACTCGTCTGACTGGCTGTTCCCGCTGTAGGAGGTTCTCAACATACTGAAGGAGAGCAAGGCGGACATCTTTGTGGATCCAGTTCTGCACACAGCATGCGCTCTGGACATCAAGCACCAGTGTGCTGCGATCCCACCGGGCCGAGGAAGACGTAAGTAATTCTGGAAATGATTTTATGTGAATTAAGACTAGATCTGAATGCCTGTACTCTGTGTTTGTGCAGAGATGTCCTGTCTGATGGAGGCTCTCCAAGATAAGCGTGTGAGACTCCAGCCGGAGTGTAAGAAGAGATTACAGGACCGCATTGACATGTGGAGTTACGCCGCTAAGGTAAACGTTTACCCAATCCCAATCCTCAACTATAATATCTTCCTAATTGTTCCAAAACATAACACTAGAGCGATGATCCAAAACTTGGTGTGCTCACTACACAAATGCTGTTCTAAAAAGTAAACCGCGACATTATGCTGCTTGCTAAGATATCTTGTTTTGGCTAAATTCTAAGGAAGAATCACGTGCAATCGGTTTCAATAAACTTGTTCGAAAAACATTTAGCGGACTTGCCAACACGACTTTAAAGTGTTAAAGGAAGTTATATATTGTGTAATTCAATAATGTAACCATTATTATGAAAATTGGGATAGCATTTACCTCGGAGAACAGTCTTCCGTTCTTTTTGCATAGAAAAACTTTAATGCGTAAGTTGTCACATTAAATTAAATGCAAAAATGTACGAATTTGCACAAATCTTACAGAAGTTTCTGCATTTGATTTAATATGAGAATTTGCACAAGTATGGTTTCACAGTTTATTTTAAAAATGTTACGTAAATGTTCTCATTCAGTTTGTTTGCGTAAGGATTAGGGCTGTCACGATTCCTCGATTCAATTTGAGTACTCGATTAAAAAAAATCCTCGATTGCATTTTGCCCGTGTTGATTAATTGGCAAAATATCGGAAGTGGCGCATTCCACGGACGAGAATCCATGAAACGCATTATTAGACCATCTTCCAAGGCTGCGTGATATATTAAACCCATTTTAAAATCATAATAAAGCATAATGCTATTGTGAATTCACAAACGCTACGATTCAATTAAAATGTGCAATGCCAGTTTAATATGTGCGCTTTATTTACATACGTGTGTGCATCTCGGAGCAGCTCCGTTCACAGTAAATGCTGCTCCACACAAACTTATTTACATGTGTGGAGCGTCTCAAACTACATCTCTGCATATGCTGTGAGTTTGTTTATTATAACGTTCATCTGGGAACGCAACCTACGCGAATTCATCAGATTTGTAAGGTAAATCATTTATAAACCTACGCCAACACAGGAGAATACATCAATATCTTTCTGAACATGCTAGCCTACTGTTCTTCGTGATTTCAAAATAAAAGCTCAAACCCTCGCTCTGAGTTTACACATTTTGATGTCCACATATTCAAGAAATTCATTTCTGTCGTAAAGAAATAGCCAAATATTAAAGATTAAGTGGACATTTGAATGAAATTTTGTTTAGTCAATATTAAACAAGGATTAGATCGCACAGTAAGGAATACATCAATATCTTTCTGAACATGCTAGCCTACTGTTCATCGCGATTTCAAAATAAAAGCTCAAACCCTCGCTCTGAGTTTACACATTTTGATGTCCACATATTCAAGAAATTCATTTCTGTCGTAAAGAAATAGCCAAATATTAAAGATTAAGTGGACATTTGAATGAAATTTTGTTTAGTCAATATTAAACAAGGATTAGATCGCACAGTAAGTGTAAAAACAATCGTCAGGCAGTTGGCGCCTCTGCAGGCATTTGTTACAATGCGTAAAGTACATTAGCTCTATTGTTTATAATACATTATGTATTTTATTACTTTTGTTCAATAAAACCATATGATTGCCTGCTTTTCGTTCTTTATTTTAACTAATTATTATTTCTTCATTGCTATTATATATGTATTTTAAGTCATTTTAAAGGCTATTGTTCGCTTAGGTCTATTTTTATTACTACAAAAAAATGTATTATTATCCAGTTACTCGATTAATCGTCAGAATAATCGACAGATTACTCTATTACCAAAATAATCGTTAGTGACCGCCCTAGTAAGGATGCATGTACAAACAATTTACAAAAATCATATAAAAATTGTTGCATATAATTGCAAAATTGCGCAAGAGCTAGAGTAAATATGGAATAATTTGCGCATAAAATGGACCTCCCTGAAAACTCGCCTCCAGATTCACAAACGCTTTGTAAACCTCAGATTTGATAGTTAGATATTTCTAAGTTCATTAGTTAGAAATTGCTAAGTTTCCATTTTTATGAACGAGGCCCAATTTACATTAAATGCATACAGATTACATAGAAAATATTGCGTAAATTGTCACATTGAAGAATAGTTTAACAACAGTTTAAACAAATTTGCTCTCTTCGAGTTTTATTAAAGAATTCCAATGTATTTTGTGCAAAAATAGCAGTGACGAGACGCCTGCAAGAGGATATGCTTTTTGTATAGATTAGATATAGTTTAAGATTAACTATATTTAGTGTTGCAATTTGTGTACATGTAAAGCTGATAAAGTATGAGCAATGCAAGTTGATGGTGATGGAATCGGGGAATTTTTACAAGCACAAGTTCATATTGTTTCTCTGTTGGCAATAGGTGGCGCCAGCAGAAGGTTTCTCGGATCTGGCCGGGCAGGTTTTCACGTCTCCTGCCAAGACCTACATCCTGAGCATGCTGGCGATGTGCGTGGTCCTGCTGTTCCTCATGGGTCTGCTGTGCGGCCGCATCACCAAGCGTGTGACGCAGGAGTTGAAGGACAGGTAGAGAGGGGGTGCAGGGCAGGGGAAGCGCCATTCAGCTCCCCCTGCAGGGCAAAAAGCCCATCACACCCCACACGCCGTTCTCCGTCCTGGGCCGGGGAAGGACACTGGGGTTGGAAACGCAAACTTGACGGAGGGGGGCGGGTGTTCAGACTCGTGCTGTGTGTGCATTTTCGTGGTACCACCGACGGCCACATTGGGACCCAGTTTTAATTGCTACACACACTCTATTTTTATTTTTCCCTGACTGTGCTTGTCCTACAACATCGCCTGCTTCTCTGAGCAAACCTGCCTGCTGCGCGCTTTCGAATGCCGACATCACGGCACGCCACATGACACCAATCAGCTTTCTTCAACTAACATCTCAAAGACTTGGTTTTGCTTTCCAGCTAAATGTTTTAATTTATTGTTGATGTTTTGGAGTGCGGGAGGTTTGGCTTTTGTTTTCCTTTCGTTTGCAGGGATGGTGTCGCAATATTTGACGTCCATGTTTTAGGAAACAGCCAGTTGCTGACAATGTGCGTTTTGACAAAGTTAGAGCGATTGAACGAATGTGTGTCTGTGCCTTTTTGCCCATCCGAGTGAGAGAATTTGTTTGGTTTGTGTCAGATTTTATCATGGGGCTTCTTGTTGATTTTTCTTCATGTCACTGGGAACATCTTTCTTTGCAGTAAGGGGTTATAAATGTGTTTTTCTGTCATTTGGTTGGTTGATTTTGTTAAGGGAAGGGGTTCTGCATCGTTAAAGTCTCACACGTCGCTGCCCGATGCGTTTGAACTGGTCTTAATTGAGCCACAAGACTTAGAAAATGGACGATAAATATCCGAAATTGCAAATCTAAGGGCGACTTGATTCTGGACTGAGTCTGTATTGACTCTCTGGCCGCATTGAAACGTCAAGCTGTTTGCCTGCTGTTATCGATGCAGTTTATGACGCTGTGGCTTGGGCGCGTCTCGTCTGAGCTTTGAATAAGTCGTTCGATTCGTGTTTTCGTAGTGCCATATTAACAAACCGTTCTGTTAGCTTAAAACATCCGTACAGAAAGTCACATGTGAACCGAATTCACGTTTTTGACGATTCACCCACATCAGAGATGTAATTTTATTTTACACTGTTATTCTCTGAATGCCTTGCTCGTATATCATTGGGTTTCCAGACATCGTACTGACTGGTTTTAGGGGAATTATCGGTTTTAAACACTGTTTTTCGTACACATTTTTGAAATAAGCTTCCTTCACAGTCGGTCCATCTCTTTTGTGGTTTTAAAACATTTTAAGTCCATAATCGCCACAGTTTCCGCCATTTCTAGGTTTCATTTTTCTTAGATTGAGTCGTGATGCATTAAGAACCAGAGTTTTTCTCGTAATTGAGGACTAAGTTGCTGTTTGACTGGATTTTTAGCTTCTTAATTCTTTACGCCGAAGGCTTTAATGCATAAACCCCCATATTTTGTCCCCCTTCACACTAAATTTCACTCTCTTGAGTGATGGTTTACTATTAAAAGCGTAATAGAGCTGTAATGTTACAGTCCCTGTGCATCATCATTAATTTGGCTTTTGTATTATTGTTATAGTTGTATGCTTTTTTACAAAATGACATTAAAGTTGACTTTGGTTCTAGTGTTTGTGCATTCAAGCTGTGCTTTAATAATCTGAATTCATGTCATAATGCTGTTTGAAACCATACATACTGTAAATAGCTGTATCATTTTAATAGAGGATTGTGGATAACACAAACTCTGCCTTAGCTTTGCAGAAAACTTGGTCACCTATGGGTTGCACCCTTAAAGGGATAGTTCACCCAAAAATGAAAATTTGATGTTTATCTGCTTACCCCCAGGGCATCCAAG